TCATTATCATTTTTTCATCAGAATTTAAGTTGCCTTATGCAGCTGCTTTAATGCTTTAAGCTCATTAATTTTGATCTGCTTAAATTTTTTACTTATGCTTAGGATGAATACAATATTTCTGAAACTTCATTCTTTTTATATCTCAAAAATACCTACTAATTTTTGAAAGTTAAAAAATTTTTTTGAAGGCGATTGCGATGTGATTATAGTGAACGTTTGAGTGAAATTCCAATGCCCTTAATAAGTAGCGATGTAGCTCCTACCCTAAAATACGTACTAAATGTCTGTAGAAATATGATATTATATCTGGAACAGTGCGCGACTAACTTTGTGGTCATTACCGGTCCAGAAGGTTGAACTTGGTGCAATTAGTGTAGAATAATTTTTTTAAAACTTAGTTGTTTGATAATGATGAGTTTTTTCGATGTAGAGCTAACTTTTCTTCAGTTTACTGTTGTCTAATGGGCGCTGCTTTATTGTTATATGGGGCACTGTTTACGAAACCACTATTGGCCCTTCAATTTATTGAATCGAAAAGAAATTTGCCTGTTTTGCCTGCTTCAAGCCATCACATTCTCAACTTGCTTTCAACTGTGGTGAACTCTACTCCTCAGGAGATTCGTGGTGTAATTTTTTAAGTTTACTGTTTTTAGTTTTGGTTATTTCCTATATTATTTTTGCCTTTATTGCTGCTATGGTTTATTTATTTTTCCTCATCTATACTTTTTCTTTAGATGGTACATAATCGTCAAATTTCGTTAAATTCCCTCCTAATTTCACCACCACCAAAGTTCAATATAGCTAGGACGGGCTGCAGACCTGTTATTGATGTTCTTGTTGGTGGTCATAAATTATGGTCATCGAAGAAATCTTACGACTTGTTGAGGTGATTTAGACAGTAGTTTATTTTTAGATTTTGAATTGCGCTTAAGGAAATCTTACACGATGTATTTCTTTTTTGTCACAGTTTCCCTTGCTTATCATTTTCTCTTCTTAATGTTCAAAGAATTTAGAGCGTATGATTCTCCTAGCTGTTCAACAGCAGAAATTGATCTTGAAAACTTAGTCGTTACTGGTGAAGTACAGGTTAGTTGGAAGTAATTATTAAATCGAGATTTCATTTCTTATTTTTTTATTCTTCTGGTTGGCTTTTTTTGATTAACTAGAGTTGGTTTATTGGGTATTATTTAGGTGTTAGTCTATCACGCAAGGTGGTCTAAGGTTCACGGAAAAATCCAAGAACTTTTTATGTTCTCTTTTTGTTTCCATTCCAACTTTATCGACCCTAACACGCACATTTTTGAGCTAAGTAAGGGAGACTTAGATATTCATCCCGACGATGAACAAAAATTTGGTCCTTGTTTCAGGTTTTTATTTTCCAATTCGCTTAACTACCTCTTCTTTTTTTCATAATTTTTTATTGTTTACCTAAGTCTAAAAGCTTATTTTGTTTCTTTACTGCCATATATTAAAAACTCTTTCGAATTGAAGTCAAATTGTGTTTTAAAGTACAATCAGGTACACTAATTTGTTGTGATATTTTTACAAACCAGAATAAGTGCTATAGCAGTGACTGTTCAGAGTTGGCGTACGTCTTCACATTGATGATAATGATCGTGAATTTAACACTGCTGAGTTGCCAAACTTTTTGCATTATGATGCAAATAGTATTCGTAAAGATGTTCTGGTGTCAAACCGAGAGGAGTACGGTCAGATTTTTTTTTATTAACTGGTTCAACAGCTCTTTAATTTTGTTTTCCCTACTGTGCGAGGGATTGGGTGAAACATCTTTAGACGCTATTTTTGCCTCTCACGAGCTTGGAAAAGCGGATATACACTATAAACCCGTGAATGAACAACCAGAGAGGAAGAAGGCTGAACGTGATGATTTGGTTTTACCTATGCAACAGTTGGAAATATCTACTAATAGTGGTGGAAATGCTACAGATTTCTTTTCAACGCTTTCTTGGAGTGATGACGGTGCATCTAAAACTCAGCCTCATCAGGTTCTGTCTACCTCACCAGGACCCGATGTACTGTTGACACAAAATGAAGTACGACTTTTTTGTTCTAATGAACTAATAAATTTCACGTTTTTTCTTCACATCTCTATTTATTTTTTATTTATTGCTATTGATTTGTTTTAACTTGAAAATGTAGTTTATCTCTATCCATTTCGTCATGATTTTGATTACTGCTTCTATCAGTATCTGATAAAACCAAAGTGTGAGTAACTTATTTTGATTTCGGAGGGAAGTTTAATGAAAGCTTCAAACGTTTCATTGTTTTTGATTTCAAAGTTGGGTTTTGGAGGGTTTTTAGAGGCTTAAAAGTAATCCTTTAAACTTTTTATTTTACTGCTTTATGGAAAATGTCCAGTTCTTTAAATGGTTTTAATAAATATCTGTTTTTGCTTTTTCATAGACTTGCTGTCAGC